TTAACCTTTGACTAGTCTTTGATTAAAAGATAATTTAAAGAAAATAAAACCATCAACCTCTATCATTTTTATTTCTCTTTTCGATGTGTATTATTATTGTTGTTGTTGTTATTATGCGAAAAATTATTTCTTTTTGAATTTTTTTGAATTTATATGTAAAATTATTTTATTTGAAAAATTTATGGTTGAAATAGTTTCAAAAAAACGAGGTTCCAACAGGGGTCCATTCGAAGGATCAAAAATTACAAACAATGAAAAATGAGGACATAGGATAAAATAAAATAGATTAGGGTCTTAAATTATACATTTTCAATAGATTGGGTACCTCATCTCTAATTTTCCCGTTTCCGTTAATTATTTCACCCGAAAAGCAGGGAACCATTATCCCGCCTTTCTCTTTCTTGGGGTTTTAAAGCCATTTTGTTTCAGTTTTCCCTCCAACTTTCCATTTTCTCCCCCCTTCTTCTTCCCACAAATCAAACAAACAATTAATTCACAATCCAAAAACCCAAATACTTCCTTTCAAGAATGCCTCCTGTCAATTTAACCGAAGGCTCAATTCGATGCTTGCGAACGGCGAAGTTCAGGCAACAGAGATGTGCAAGTGTCGGACGTTCGGCTAGTCAATACCCAGAACCAGAATAGCAATAATGAGCGGTATCTGATCCCGTTATCGGACGGGTCGCTTCTCCAGCAGGCAATGCTGGCGACCCAGTAGAACGAATTGGTCCGAACGGATAAATTGCTGAAGGGATCTAATGTTCAGTTGACGGAGTTCGTCCGTAAAGTCATTCTATCTCACATGCGAGTTTATGAAATTATGCTACCTATTATTGATTGTTTTGATTGTTGTTGGTTGTCAGATTGTCTTGTGCGGTTATCTGAATGAAACTGTTTTTTTTTTTTTTCAACTTATGTTGCATTTATTTAGCCAGTAGCAATAAGTTATCAGTAATTAATGTGAATTATTAGTGGTAAGTAAATTTGGAATGACATGCCAATTCTCAGAAATTTGAAATCCTGATTGTAATCTGTCTTTTAGAATATTCGAGTAAGTCCAGTGTGAAGTAGTTATGGGTTCAGGAATTTTGTGTCTACTAGCTGAGAAGTGGAGTGAAAGTTATGCACCGTATGATTAAAGAAGAAAATTAAATTCTCTTCGGATTTTGGCAGGAATTTGGTGGAAATTTATAATGCTGAGAAATAATTAACTTGTAGATGTTTCGAAACTATAATGCCTTTTAAACTCACCATTTGGTTGGTATGTAAAACCCGATTACTGAATAGATTATACTAATCTTAATTATTGTATAGTTACATTTTTAACTCGATTTCATTGATCTAAAAAGCAAAGAAATTGCATCATAATTCAAGAGAAATTGCTGCTATCAAAACGTAAGGTCCTTTTTTGTGTGTATGGGGGATAATTCTTTACGTGTCTGGGACATGATAGACTTTGAATATGCTTTTATTTCTTCCTCATTTTTCTTTACCTATTTCATAAGGCGTGTGATTAATGAACACAAGTAAATCCCTTATATTTATGTATTTAAGCCCTTGTTTGAGCCCCCCATTTTTCTATCAAAATGAATTCTTGAACGGTAAAATAATATTACGCACAAACCCAAAAATTTTCCTTATTTTTTAACCACGCATTCTCCATCATAACACTATTGCAAAATGCATTTTTCAAAAAAAATGGGGCTCGAAGAAGCACTTTGTTCGTGTTTATGAGCAAATGCGTTCTTCTGTATATGCGCTGGTAAGTTCATTCGTCTTGACTTTAGAAACAGGTCTCAAAAAGCTGGGACCTTTCATGCACATGCAACTTATGAAACCTGCTAATCTGGACTTTTTGACTTGCTTTAAACTAATTTATATAGTAAAGCGGTATTAACACATGATTCATTTGAATAACTTATTCCATCTTAAAGTGAGATGGCTCTTGGCCTTCAAGTGGAGTAATTTTTTTGACCAAGGTATCTATATTACATTAGTTTTCTGATTTTATAGTTAGATTTTTGCTTCATATTTCCCAGTGCGGTGTCTACAGTTGTACTGGACTTCCTGGAGCAAGTTAATCTGTTACCATACTTTCTAGATAGTTTGTTCTCTAAACTTTCTCATTGTTGTATGTTGTATGAACTGTTTTTATTCAGTTTATAGTATATTGATCACTTTCTCCAATTTTTTGCAGGATTATAATTATCATTAATCTGGATGTGATGCTCAAGAAATGCGATACCATTGGTGAACTGAAGTATTACGGGCCACTTAAGACTGATGGGGAGGGCATCTCTATACCCAGATCATCAGCCTCAGTTCAGCCAATGAATCAGCCTAATAATGCAACTGTTTCAATCTTATGTTACTGGTTCAGCTCCTAGGCCTAACGTAGTTGGTGGAATCAGCCTAATTAATTTGCTGAAGTCATGCGTAATGTTCTTTTTGCTGAATACATTTTCATGTTGAAAGTAAAGGAGTAGACATTCAGCGATGAACAGCGTGTAAAGTCAACTATAGTCAAAGCTGAGAAAGTAAGTCTCCAAAACGAGACCAGGTATCTTCTGGACTCAATAGCCAAGTTTAAAGGAGAGGACTTGGGTTCTCTACCTCTGAAGAGTGAAAATGTCGGTTCAACCTCTGGAATGAACAGCATTGGTTTTGGTACTGGATATAGGGAACCCACAGCATCTATTATGAATTACAGTGGAAATACTAGCAACTTGGCTAGAGAAACTGCTGCATCGGAAAATCAGGTGCGTTCATCTACTAATCAGTACAGTGGTTCCACTCTTTCTTCATCTGGCCAACTGGCATGTATTTGAGTTGTAACAGCTGTGGTGGTATGGGTCATAGTTCCGTGAATTGTGCAAGTGCTATGACTAGCCAGGGACAAACTTATGGAAGTAGCTTTGGCTGTAGGGAAACTCCTGGGGCAAGTTCTGGTGATGAGTGTTAGGAATATTTGGCCTAACTGCACCTAATAAAATCGGCTTATTAGGGGAGGATTGTCATCACCTTGTTAAGTGGATCATTTATATTTTTCCAAGCAATGTGAAATTCTAATAATGAGTGCTTTAAATGCCACCAAATTGGGCACTAGGCAAAAGAATGTCATGGCTTGAGCAACACTCTTCCAGCTTATGGGAGCAGTAACCCGACTCCTGTGGCAAGTGCTGGTGGTGAGTGCTTCAAATGCCATCAAATTGGGCACTGGGCAAAAGATTGTCCCGGCTTGAGCAATGGTCCTCCAGCCTATCGGAGCTGTAACTCGACTCCTGGACGATATGGTAATGTACCAAAGCAACACGTTGGTGGGTTCTAAGTCTCAACTTCTAAATGGAAGTGGCAGAGTGCACCTCTACACAATGAATTTGTGCCTCTGAAGGCCACCATGCCAAGTTTTGCTTTGGGGGAGACGGCCACTGTTTCTGCGCTTGCTACGCTATGATTTTTGTACACCAGTGTCTTAAGAATTGTGCTTGGCATGTACTGTAACGCAGTGGTTTCAATACTTGCAAAGATAAGAACATGGATATGGCTTTAGAAAAGTCAGTCTCAACTTTTGAAAACATTTTACTGAACATGTTATCTGTAAATTATTTTCTCCGCTTTTGAGGTATTTGAACCTTTGGTATGACCCAGCCATAAGGGGCTTTTTGCTGTACATGTTATCTGTAAAGTATTTTCCATCTATATTTAACGTTTTTAAACTTTTGGTATAATCGAGCTGTTGCAATTTTCAGGTGTTAAACTTTATTTATGGTGAAGTTTAGTTTTCACGTGACTTGCAGGGTTTGGTTAATAGTTAAACAGTGTATTTTAATGTGGACGCCGCATTTTTAGTGCATGTTTGGATTGGCTTACTTATCATTATCTAATATTTATTATATAAAAGAGTCACTTTGGTTTTCACTGTTCATAAGCTGTATGATCATGTTAAGCCAAGCCGAAGTGGTTGAGCCACGTTCACCGATCCATTTCTATATTTTAAACTATCTTTTCCCTCTTTTTTGGTTCAAGAAATGATGTTAATTTACTGTCATTTGACTCATTTGTGCTTTATGTTTGCGTGTGAAAAGACGAAAGTAACATAATGGCGTGTTTACATTGGTTGAATAAAAAAAATATAAGGATAATGCTAAGTTAAAAAAAAAAGCAGTGCAAAATTTTTTCCATTCAGAACAGAGAGAAGCACTAAAAAAAATTAAAAAAAATAAACTAACAAAAGAATCAATTTTTACAGTTATACAAACATTAGACTAAAAAAAATAATTTAAAATCACTCAACGCTATTAAATATACAATTAAACTGTAGCACGTGCATCGCACGTGCGCACACTAGTATTATATAAAAGAGTCACTTTGGTTTTCACTGTTCATAAGCTGTATGATCATGTTAAGCCAAGCCGAAGTGGTTGAGCCACGTTCATCGATCCATTTCTATATTTTAAACTATCTTTTCCCTCTTTTTTGGTTCAAGAAATGATGTTAATTTACTGTCATTTGACTCATTTGACTGTTTTGTGCTTTATGTTTGCGTGTGAAAAGACGAAAGTAAAATAATGGCGTGTTTACATTGGTTGAATAAAAAAATATAAGGATAATGCTAAGTAAAAAAAAAAAAACAGTGCAAAATTTTCTCCATTCAGAACAGAGAGAAGCACTCTGATCTTAATGGAGAGATGAACGTTGGCATTGTTCCCTCTTTCATTAATTCAATTGTTTTTTGTCTTTACTTATTCTTGTATGCTACACCACTTTCACATACAAACATCATTTCGATTTCTCTTTCTTCTCTTTCTCACAAATTTCTATTTTCCCACACAATCACCCATGCTTTATATTCCACTTCCCTACACAACTAAGACTTTACCTTTCTTCTTTTCTATCTTCTATTTGTTGCAGTAGGAGTTACGGAGAAGGACATGACTGAAGATGAGATATATATTTTCTTCTATTTCTCATTAAATTCTCCCATTTTCAAGCAAGAATTCGAAAAAAAAAAAAATTTGAATTTTCATTTATTCTTGGCGTTCTTGGTAAGGTTTTTAAGTTTCTTGCAGGTAGATTTATTTTGTTTTGTGATGTTTCAAACAATATTTGCTGGAGTCAATATTGTCTATAAACTGGCTGCAAAAGATGGAAAGAAGTTGTCCATTTTGGTGGGCTATAGATTTATGTTTGGCACTGGTTTTATGGTTCCGGTTGCCCTCTTGGTTTAAAAGCTGTAATGCAAGTTTATTTTGATTTTCAGATTTACAAGAAAGAATATTTAATTTAATCCAACGAAGAATTTGAAAATCTTAAAGCTAAATTGCACACACGGGAAGTTCTTATCAATCTGAATCTTCAAATTTCTTGATATTTTAGGAAAAAGAAGCCTAAGTTAACATGGATGGTAGTCTTCCAAGCACTTCTTTGTATTCTATTTGGGTAAGTTTTAATTTTATTAATCTCTTAAATGATTTATTAGATTGGGATATGTTTTTTCGAGATAAAAGATGAACAATCCATGTTTTGATTTATGTAGAAGTGTACCAAATAAGAACTATCTTAAATGCAGTTGAGATTTATTGACCTCAATATCATTTTAAGTTCTTGAAGTAATGTAATGGATAATATAAAATTAATTTTTGGACCATGATTATGTACTTTATTTAATAGTTTATAGAGTAATAATCTGTACAATTTTCTTTTTGCAAAGGATTACTCTGCCAAAATCTTTACTTAAAAAGTATGGCAATGATTTCTACAACTTTTGCTTCAGTCTTGATCAATCTTATTCCGACGTTGAACATATTTTCTTAACTTCAAAGATGGATAGACAGTCAACATCTGTTATCTCTTCCTTCGGAAGACTTAACCAAGCTTATTAGTGAGCGATGGAGGAGCACTGAAGGTTTCTCTTCCATCTTATAAATATATTTTTTTTGCACTTTCTTGCCAATTATATTTCCATGAAAAACCTTTTTTACATTATTGTAGCTAGATGTTCCTTTATTTTCTTGTTCACAAATTGAACGGAGACTCTGTGCTCCACGCAATGCGGAGAAACTCTCCACTTATTGTGCAGACTTCATTTCCACTAAAATTAAACGCTCACTTCTCTCAACCTTCACTGACTTATTAGTAACTAAATGATTTATTATATGATCAAAACTTGGTTTAGTTTCTTTAGGTTTTCCATCAAGATTTCCTTAACACTTATTTCAGATTTTATTTGGGATTTCCGTGTGATGATTTTGATTGTGTTCTTGTTCCTTCAAGAAAAATTGAATCTTCATTTTTTAAAAATATTTATGCTGTTACATAGTAAATCTTCATTTAAAATATTTATGCGCTTATAATATTAGTTGGATTTCAAAAATATATATCGTTTTATTCAAAGTAAGCGTAAAAAGAAAAAGGGGGGGGCGGGGAGACGCGGCATGGAATGCATGGAGAATTTTTCTCCTTGCTGCACAGAGAGATAATATTTTAATTTTTTTTCTTTTTTAAAAGTGAGTTTGTTTTTACTTTGGTTTTAATTTGTACTGTTCATATGAATAGTACATGCATGTTCGTTTTTTTGGGAGCGAGTTTTCTTTTACTGTTCATACTTATAAAAAAATTATATGTAGCTAATGTTTGACATAAATACTTTTTTTATATCTACGCTATTAAGTAGTAAACTACATCATGACACGTGTCTTGCACGTGCTTCTCACTAGTAAGTAGATAAAATGGAGTGGTGGAGATTTTATTGGTTTATATGGAATGTGTATAATTAGTGGATCATAGTTGGGAATGAGTAGTCGTAGATTCTATAAAATGTGTGGTTAAAAACTTAAGCCAATCCAAACATGCACTTGATTAATTGCCTTCATGAAATGATTCAACGCCTCAGTAGCCCTTGTTTGTCTTTCCTTCTTGTAAAACTCTTTTTTCTACTTACTCAATTTTAGTTACACATTGACAAAATAGAATATTTTATATATAAACTTAAAACTTTTTTCTACTTTTTAACACACATTTTTCTAAAAATTACTATTTGAAACAATATTTTTTCATAAAAATGGCCACCAAACAAAGGCTTAATAGATCGTGGTGGGTTAGCATTTTCAGTAGATCTATTAGTAAATACACAAATTAATTAATCCATATATGTTGGGTAATCCACACGTGGAAAATTAGTACTACATAAGTTGCTCATTTTGAAAGTAAAAATAAATTTACCTTTTTTCTTGGGTCACTTTGAAGCAACCAAATTGTGACCCACCTAAAATGTGCTATTAAATATCCAAATAATTGAATTAAAATTCATCACAGAGAATTCATATATTAATTCCAAGAGAGAGAACTGCTGTGTACAAGTCATATGGATGTCTTCGTGTTTCAATTTTTAATTTTGAGTTTTGAATTTATTTTAAATTTTGTATTTTGAATGTTCATTTTGAGATTGTTGAAAATGTGTTCTTTTTGGCATTTTGAAAAATTGTTTTGAAAACACCCAAAACGTGTTTTCCAAAATTTTGGTTTGATTATAACTGAAAACACCCAAAACGACAAATTTTGACTTGAATTCGTGTTTCAATTTTTAGTTTTGAGTTTTGAATTCATTTTGAGTTTTATGTTTTGAGTATCCATTTTGAGATTGTTGAAAACGCGTTCTTTTTGTCATTTTGAAAAATTGTTTTCAAAAATAAAAAAATAAAGTTTTGACTTGATTTTAATCAAAAATAGCCAAAACGACTTTTTTGACGTTTTCTGTTTTCTTTGTAGATTTTAAACTTGTTTTTGGAAATTCGTTTTTGAAAATAGGTAAGTAAACGCGTTTTCAGTGTTTTCGAAAACTGAAAACTGAAAATAACTTGAAAACAGCAAAGAGAAGATATCCTTATTTTCTGGCAAACGCTTTCTTGGATTCATATATTAATTTAAATCTAAGAACATTTCTTATCTTGTAAATAACTTCCCAAGACTTTATTCTGATTCTCTTGCAATATAAGCATTCATTTATTAACACACCCTACCCATATGGGACCTTCAGAAACACACGATAGTAGGTGTAGATGCCGTCTTAGCCGCCTTTTTGGGAAGTGGATCCCACACAATTCCTCGCTTTCCATGATGACCAACAGCACTAGGAGCTCCCTGTGCCACGAGCTTTGTCCTCTCGGCCTTGGTTTTCAGTCGGAGCCTCTCAGCCCTTGACCCAATAATCTGTCCTACTATAGAAGCTGCAATGGTTAAAGCCATTGCCGTTTTGGGCATTAGGACCGACTTCCTGAGCATGGCTATGAAGGGGACGGCAGCATGTACCGCAACAAACCACGATGGTGAGAATTTTTCTGTATGCTCTCTCCAAATACCCAATGGAATATTAGCGGCCAAACCCAAGACACCAATCACAAGCATCTTTGCAGGTAATGGCTGTGGACGCAGGCTCTTGACAAAGGCGGTCCGGGCAAGGGCAGCCCTGGCTGCAACTATAGCAGGTGGGCATTTCAGCTTCATTCCAGGTGGCGGTTGAAGAGATGTTGCCACAAGTGGAAGCACACGGCTTACAGCTCTGTAGGACTTGGCAATAGGACAGTTCCCCGTTTCCAACCAGTCGTTTCCCATTGCCTCGTGTTTTTTTGAATTATCCTGAGAGTTCATATACAATGCTATAATCACCAAAAAACCAAGGAAGAAAAACCTTTGGTAAATGTCCAAAATTTTCTTGCCAAACAGTTTTACGCCCACAGTGAAAGCGTGAAAAATTTAGAGCATGTTGCAAAATAAACAAAGATTTAACTGTTATAAATGCTTGAAGACCCAATTACTTTCACTTTTATCATAAGAATTTCATTTTAATGATATTCTTGTGCAACGAGACCTCTCAGTGTGACGTAGAACAAAACTTGAAGCAAAATAGCACTTTCTGCTTTCTGGAAAACATGAACCAGCAAGTGGTATCTGTGGTGAACAGGAATTGAGAACGAAACAAGCATGGAAATGCATGGATTTAGAAGATCAGCGTGTGCATTAGATCTTTACAACAAGCATGAAAATGCATGGGCGCATGGCCATAGAAGATCAGTGAGTGCATTAGATCTTTACAACAAACCTCAAACCATAGACACAGAGTAAGAACCGAAACCACCAGCATACTTTCTTCTGAACATCACTGTAATCATCTAGATAATAACTCTATATGTTTGGGATCCATTTATTTCAAACACAAAGGGTTAACCAAACTGATCTGAACAGCCTTGAGCTTTCTGGGCGTTACACTGGATAAGTAATCACTTAGCCTACATACATTTCTACAAATGCTGCAAAAATAAATCGCATATAAGTGTATTCCTAATGAACATACCTTAGCTGGATTCTCCTTCTTTCTGGACGAGTCAGATGTCTTTTTCTGCATCTTACCGAAGAAAGAATGAAAACTGAAGGGCCCTCCTGGTCCAAATGCTGACATACTAATGGAGGCAGCATTTGCTGCTAAAGGGTTAAATTGAGGTGCAGCCTCAGCGTCCAAATTGTCAGCACAAACTCGAGATTTTCCTGAGAGTGGAACGACCCCATCTTTCCCATGGAAAAGCTTAAATGCCAAATCAAAGTTGGGTCCATCTTCAAATATTGGACCTTTGGCTCCCTTCAACTGAAAACATGTATAGAAGATAAGGGAATTCTTAGCAAAAAGAGAACAGAGAGAAATGAAAGAGCTAGCAAAAAATGAATGCAGGAACAGAGAATAATTAGGCCTGATATATGATCTATGTTGAAATGTTATTTAAATGGATAGACAACTGATAACTGCTTAAATCATTAATAGATCAAATTAAGAACTTACAGGATCAGTAAAATTCAGAGATGCAAATGAAAATTTGGTTGGTCTCTCAATGTTCCTCAAGAATGGACATTTCTGAATATCCTGCTCAGTCAAGGAGCAATCAGTCGTCTCCTCATTCAGTGAGTTGAAGAAAAAATCCATTGTTTCTTCACTAGATCTCTTTATCTGAATGGGAAAAATACACATAAAATTCAATAAATTATTCAATGCCAAGGCAGTGACATAGTGCATTGTAACAAATGATAGTGACACCTATGATTTGAAATCACAATCGTGCAATTGCCATCTGGACTTTACTGTTGAACCAAGTATGTGAGCCTCAGCAGCATAACATGTGTATTGACCTTATTCAAACATTAACAGAAATTAAGTATAACTAAGATTTTACGAAATTCGGTCACATGGATGCAAGCCGATTTTATGGTGGTAATAAGGAGAACCTGCACGACACTTCGTAGAGATTTACAGCTAATTAATTACTGGAAAGAAGTTATTTCTTTAAAGCAGAGCCAGACATGCTCTAAGGAGAAAAATAGGATAACAATTAAGTTCATTTTACCAACTAGCCTTTATGAACAACAATGTACCAACAAAATTCCATGCAAATGAAAGGTCACAGGAAATTAGAACTTATTTATGGTTGCTAATCTAAAACTGGTTGGTGCATATTACAACAATAGATAAAAAAATATGTAGCAACACCTCAAGCAAATTTGTATTTAATTATCACCAATGTAACAATTAACAAGTAACGTATATCATATGAATAATGTATCTACACTTTCCAGAAGTCATAAAATGCCAACATACCTTATGATTCATTAATCTTATATTGTTGGAAGAGCATGTTGTTAGAACTTACAAATTTTACACGGAACACGTAATATTGAATTTGGCATTGATGTAATCAAAGTTCATTAATAGCTCATCGTCCACGATTTCTTCACATACAATATACTACAATAAAGCCTAGGTATTTAAAATCCCCGGGGAGGAATAGTTTCATTAAGTATTTCTATTGGTACTAAATTGGAAATTAAACAACTCAGAGAACAATATAACAACATATAATAACTCACTTTACCATCATAGCTATGAATATGTTACCTTTATTCCGTGAGAAATATATAAAATTCAATTTTGTATGACTAATGTCATCTAAACAATGTAGCATCTTTTGAAGAAACTAGCAGCAGAATAACAAAAGAACAATTTTTGGACGAGCAAAAGAACAATTTTAGCAAGAAAAGTGAATGAACTCAAGCAAAAGGGTTTTGCATCGCAAACCCAACTTTGCTTACAGTATATTCTATTTAGAAAGATGCGCAAACATTATCGGGCATAAAACCAATCACACATAATTCCGACATCGGCAATCAAATGAATTCTATTAGATTCGAAGTGCCCAAATTGCACAATGTACAAAAATATAAAATGTTATATTGCCAAATGTGTTAACACAATGAGACAGGCTAAACCAGCTCACATCTATAAAATATTAAAACCAAAATCCATATTGGCTCTGGAACAGGCGTATGACAAAAATTAATTAGGGCCATCCTCTCATCACAGGAAGGAGGACACTCTCGGATCCAGACCAGCATTCACAGGGCTAAATCACTTCTTTTGGCCTGGAATGGTGAGGGAAATCAAACAAGAGGTCTTGGAATGTGACACATGTTAAGGTGTAAGGGAGAGCATGTTGCATATCCTGGCTTACTATAGCCTTTGCCTGAACCACAATATCCTTGGAGTCATATATCTATGGACTTCATTGAAGGATTGCGAAGCTCTGAAACCGAGAATGCCATTTTGGTGGTGGTAGATAGGTTCACCATATATGGTTACTTCCTATCTCCATCACACCCTTTCTCAGCTGCCCAATGTTGCAAAGTTATTTCTAGATAACATCTTTAAGTTTCATGGCATGCCACAAAGCATCATTTTAGACAGAGAGTTTTCACAAGTATATTCTGACAAGATCTGTTCAGACAAATGGGAACTAAGTTGCAGTTGAGTTCTGCCTATCATCCTCAAAAAGATGGACGATAGAAAAATTAAATCAGTGCTTGGAGATGTAGCCTGGGTGTATGGCTCACAGACACACCAAGCAGTTGCGTAAATGGATGATTATGGCTGAATAGTGGTACAATACCATCCCTAACACCTCGTTTAAAATGACACCATTCGAGGCTCTTTATGGAGTCAAACCCCCTTAGTTGGCATTAGGTCCATACCAACAGATCAATGTGGCAGCAGTAGATGAATTATTTCAAGAAAGACACAAAATGGACCAAATCCTCAAACAAAATTTAGCACAGGCCAGAGTTTGGATGAAGTTATATGCTGATGAACATAGAAGTGAGCAAGAATTTCAGTTAGGGGATTGTGTGTACCTTAAATTGCACCCGTTTGCTCAAGATTCCGTGGCCAGGAGGGTTAACGGGAAATTGGCTGCGAAATACTATGGGCCTTACAAGGTGATTAAGAAACTGGGAAAGGTCGCGTATAAACTGGAACTACTTGCTGGAGCTCATATTCATCTTGTTTTTCATGTATCACTGTTGAAAAAAATTGGCGAGAAGGAAGTGCATGTCTTTGACGTACCAAGACAGAGAGAGTGGTGTACCTCAATCATCTAAACCTTGGGGGACAAGGTTGGTATAAGGGGAGGAATGTTATGAAGGAGAAGATAATCAATGGAAGTGACGGCAAGAAAAGGAGCGGACGTTGGACACAGAGAGTGGAAGACAAGGGCTAACAGTGATAATTCAGATGTTTTGAACAGCGTCATTTGGATGGAAATTATACGATGTCGTTTTGTTTTAGAAATATACAGTATCGTTTTAGTTATAATCAAATTGTACAAGTTAAACATGTTTTCTTCCTTGCTAGTCTGTTGTAACTACTGTAATTGGGGAAACAGGAGGGAATTTTTGTGATGTGAATTGGATTCTTCTTCCCCGAGTCTTTCTTCTATCTCTTTCCCTTTCTTTATCAATTCTTCTGTATGAGTTAAACACGTTTTCTTCCTTGCTAGTCTGTTATAACTACTGTAATGGGGGAAACCGGGGGGTGGGTTTTTTTTTTTTTTTTGACGTGAATTGGATTCCTCTTCCCCAAGTCTTTCTTCTATCTCTTTCCCTTTCTTTATCAATTCTTCTGTAGTCCTCCCGTTATTGCAGTTTATTTCAGTAAGCAATAAATTCAATTTGTTATTTGAGTTTATTAATTCCAGTTTGTGTGAAATTGGTGTGGTGTTGAGGTTCAACCATTACACTGAGCTAGTTTCAAACATTTAAATACCTAAAATTCAGTAATAAACTAGAAAAATCCTAAATGACAAAATTATAAATTACAATTCAAATACAATCATAAATTCAAAAGACCGTATGATCTGAGCAACAAAATCAAACTAGAGTTAAGACAATAATAAAAATAATTAAGAGAAAGAGAAGAGGGTTACCGGAAGAGCAGTTGAACTCCGGCGGTGGGGCGGCGAAACTCGACCAGTGGTAGAGACGCGTGGAGCGCACAAACGAATGGAGAAGAAAATTTTGTGGTGGGCATTTTAGGTATGTGGACAGCAGAGCAGGTGATGGATGACCAGTTCAGCCAATCATGTCTTTTTGTGGGTGACCTGCTATTACCGGTCAAAGTGGTTGTTGAACAGATCAATAACGATGGGCTTTGGCGGAAGGAAAGGCGTGGGGCAAATTAACGTGTGACCACTCATACTAAAATATGAAAGAGCATTGTTTGAAGTACATTACCCCATACATAAGGGTCTACACCCCTCTCATATGGGAGTGGGATCCGCTCGAATAAAAAAATATTATTTCAATGGATCCCACCTCTCATGTGAGGGGGATGTAGACCCTTATGTACAATTCTTGATGTACAACTAGTATAATTCAATATGCAATGTGGCATATACTTGTTTGAGCCCCCATTAAATTTGAAAAATTTATTTTGAAATAGTAAATTGATAAAAAATATATTTTCAAAAATATATATATTTTTTGAATATACGTGTAATATTATTTTATTAAAAAATGTGTGAATAGAAAGAAAAAAGAAAAACATATATTTAAGAAAATAAAAAAAGAGAATCAAACAAGTTTACCAACCACACACGCCATTGGAGTCCCAAGTGTATAAGGATATGTTTTATAGGATTTTATTTGTACTTTTTGTAGAAGAGTTATTTGACAATTTTATAGAGTTTCCTTTTAAATTTCTTTTATTTAGACAAATCAAGTTGAGAAATTATTCAAATATAGCATTTGTTGGAGCTCCAATTTTTTCAAAACTCATTTTTAATTCCACAATTTTCATTTTGTCTCTATTTGAGTCACATTAAATTTTTCATTCTCATTATTCTACTTATTTTCAACCATACGTTCTTCAATAAAATAATATTTTCATTCATATCTATAACTTTTTTTTTTCTTTTTCAACCACACATTCTGTATCAATTTACTATTCAAAAATACATTCTTCCAAAATAATGTGACTCAGACACACCCAAAATGATTTTACTCATAAATTCAAAACTTAAATTTCGTTTGGATATGAAATAATAAATAGTTCGAAGGGAATAATATATATTTAAGGTGTTTTAAAGATATAATTTCAAAATTAAGAATTATGTTTTAAAAAAAATTCAAAAATCAGATCATAATTAAAGTTTATTAATTAAATATATTAAGATCTCAATATATACAGTTTATGATTAATGTTACGTACTGGTCAAAATCACAAATTTTATCGTTTACAACTTATTTATCGATCACAAATTATTAAATTAACATGTCACATATTATTTCTTGGTCATAAATCATAAAATTTTATAGATCACAAATAAAAAAAATGTGAGTCACGGTTACAAATTTAATCACAATCTTACATTTTTTTAGGTCACAAATTATTTGCTGATCACAAATTATTTATGTTATCGGTCACCTATTACTTATTGGTCACAGTCACCCAAATAATTGATCACAAACACTTTTAATAACATTCGATCTCCACCGACACCAACCAAACGACATGCCACCTAACCACCACCATTAGCACCATCGTCACTTGCACCACTATCGACTGCACTACCACCATTTATGACCATTTCCATCTCACTG